AAATTTTTCCTCCCTGTCTGTAGCTTATCTTTTTATCCCCTTAATAGGAGAAGATCCATGAGGAAAAGTTTTTAATTTTGATCAAATCTAGTTTGCCAAAGTTTTTTTCTTTTTTTATGCATTGTACTTTTGGCATCAAGAATCTTTATCTAGCCCCAGGTCTTGAAGTTTTTCTTTTATGTTATTTTCTAAAAGGTTTACAATTTTATCATTTATATTAAGTCTGTCATCCATTTGACTGAATTTTTATATAAGGTATGAGACTTAGGTCGAAGTTCATTTTATTTTTGCCTATGGATGTAAATTACTCTAGCATCATTTATTAAGTCTGTCTTTCCTTTATTGAATTGCTTTTGCACATTTGTCAAAAATCAATTGGGCATATTAGTGTGGATTTACCTCTGGGTTCTCTGTTTTGTTCTATTGGTCTATTTCTCCATCAGTACCACACAGTTATGATTACTATAGCCATATGGTAATTCTTAAAATTGAGTACACAGATTCTCTCACTTTATTATTCTTTTTCAAATTGTTTTAACAATTCTAGTTCCTTTGCTTTCTATATAAATGTTATATATTGAAGGTTTTCTATCTTCCTTTAACTGCTTTCTCTGATTCTTTTATTTTCTCTATCCACTTTTTGTTTCCTTATATGTCTACCAGGCTTTCTTTTATTTCCCTTTTTAAATTTTCATTTAAATCTATTCTCCTTTTGACAAATTGTAGTTTGTTCTTTATTTATTCAATTTCTTTGAGTTTGGTCAGTTTTTATTGCATTTTTTTTCCTGTTTCATGGTTATTTATTTATTTTTTTGTCTATTTCTTAGTTTTAAATTTCTGATTCCAGGTATTGTACACTCATGTGTGTATGTTGTTGTTGTTGTTGTTGTTGTGTGTATGTGTGTGTGTGTGTGTGTGTGTGTGTGTGTGTGTGTGTGTGTCTCCAAATGCTTGTTGAGGGTACTTATTACAGTTTGGAGTATTTGTTGTCTTACAATTTTCCTTTGTTGCATAGTTGGTTATTTGATGAGAATAAAAATACCCAGTTGAGATGTTTGTATTTCTATTTTCATATATATTTCTTTTTCCTATAGGAGTTTTATAGAGACTTTAATGATTTTCCCTGTTCCTTGGCATTTCATAGGCTGGGTTACTATTTCTAGAGTACCCTTTCCTGTCAGTTTTGTGAAAGTGTTTGTAAATGGATGATGGTGGTGGTAGAGAGGGGAAGGAGGATATAGATAGGGTTTCCCTGCCTTGTTTTTTCTTCCTGTTTGCTGAATCCTTAATTCCCCCCTCTTACTTCTTTCTTTTTACTGCTGTCTCTGAGGGACATCATCCATTCTCAGTTTACTTTCTGCTCTTATGGAAATGGTACTTACCTGAAGCTGCCACTTTGGATTTTGCTTGATTTTGAGCCCCTTTATTGCGGCCAGTGCTGTGAACCACCAGCTACTGACTTGTGCTCATATTTTGGCACTTACTTGTGGTTTACTTTTACTTTCTAAGGAAGATTTTGTCTATTTTGCCAATATCCTAAACTTCTCTCTCTCTCTCTCTCTCTCTCTCTCTCTCTCTCTCTCTCTCTCCATAGAGTCTCTTAAACCTCCCCTTACCCTTATCTCTGCACCCATAGGCTCATAGCAGCTACTGTTGGATTTTTTTTTTACTTATAAATAATTTTAAGTTTGAAGTTTGGCATATTCTCTGCCTCCTAGTAATGATGATAGCATGGGTCATGTTTGATTTCATTTGTGCTCCTTGATAACCATATAGGTTCTTGGGAAGGATTTGTAGAGAGATAAAGATTCAAATGTCTGCCAATGTTCTTCATACTCAGAAGTCTCTAGAATATAATAATTTATTGACCAAAAGGCATCATGCAATCCCTATAAAACTTGTGCTGTAACAGGATTCTTGGGGGAAAAACTGACATTATAGTAAAAATTATAATGTCTACATAATTTATCTTCTTTAAATAAGTGAAATATAGGGACAGGCATGTGAATCACGTATTTCAACACTGGAAAGGATAGCAAATAATGATTGTATCATATAGAATTTTAGAGCTGAAAGAAAAGTTATAGAAAGTCTAATGCACCCAATATGTCATCGTAAGATGAGGCTAAGAAAGAGAAGGTAATTTGTTCAAGGTTACCCTGAGAGTTACAAACTGGGACTGACATGGAACCAAGTTCTCTTGACTCCTTATTCCTATTCCTCTTCCATTACATGGCCCCAATTCTGGATCAGCCTTTGGTACGTTAAGTATCATCATGACCCTTTTCCTATTGGGGCAAAACAAGTTAAATCCTTTGCCTAAGATGGCACATGGGGTAAACAGCAAAAGTAGGTGTGAGTAAGACCAGGAATCTTGGTAAGCAACATCATTTGCTATGCTGCACATGATGCTTATATTGGCTGGCTGCTTTCCTCCCTTTCTGCCCTCTCTCTTTCCTCTGATACTTAATGAACACCTGAAATATTTCAGATCAAATTATGGAGTTGTACTGTCCTCAACAGAGTTTGCATCTAGTGCAGCTCCATTTAAAGGGATGAATGTGGCTCAGAGTTTTGACAGTGCACACAGTTGCAAGTTTACAGGTCTTGAAAAACTAAGGTTTACAGAACGCTTTTCTCCTGTGCCCCTGAAGCAATGTGAGGTCTTGGTCTAACCCAACCACCCACTTTCTGCCTGCTTGAACAGCAGTGTACTTGCTGTTGAAGTTTCCTGACTATTGACAAGAGGCTTATCCATCGAATTCTCCTCTGGGTGCTCTTGAAATGTGTACCTCATGTATGTCAGGGTTACCTCGTGTTGAATTTTCTTTGTGAGCCAAGGACAGCATGTTCTTCTCTGCTGCGCCAATAGCACTTTCCCCTATACACTCAGGAAAAGCCCCTCTCAACAGGGCTCAGAAGTCTTGACTGGAGTGCTTCAGAAATAGGCCTGGTTTATACTTTTATCAAAAGAAGCAGGGTCTGGGCAATTCCCAGGTTGGACTAGCACGGACACTCTGGTTTTCCTAGGCAAGTACATGGATGGTGTTACCATGAGACTAATGTACAGCCGTCTGATCCTCATTCAGTAAGAAGTGGAGGTGCCAACCCTCACGTGGTGAAAGTGAAGGTGGCATCTTGTGAAAAGAGGGGCTGGTGTTCATGGCGAGAAAAGGCCGATGGCAAGTGGAGGTATATTGCAGGAAAATGGAGCTCAGGATGCCTCAATGTGCCCATCTTACCGTCCTTTAGGAAGAGCAGTTGGATCTACTATTATTTTTTTCTTGATGGAATACACTGATAGTCCACATGTACATTTTGAAAATAATTAATGTAATAATTAGAAATGGTATAATGGAAAAATCTTGAACCTGGAGTTTTCACAGAACTCTGTCTTGAGCATGCTGCATTGATTAGCATACTTTGGAGTTCCCCCAGAGAAACTTCTGTACCTCATCTCCCTGGCTCCAAGAACCCCGAGGCAGAGCTGCCTGTTTGCACTGAGCAGGGAAGAGTCAGGATTCTTTCTTTTGCTCTGGGTGGAAGGTGGGCCTAGTACATGACAAGTCAAGAGCAGTAGAGCCTAGAACTTTCTCCTCCACCCCCACCCCATCACCCCCCCTCCCACACACACACACACACACGGCCATCCCTCTTTCTTCTGGGGAAGAAAAAATGTAAAACGGACTTATATTTTGGTTCTTGAGGCTGTATAAAGAAGTTCCTGCCACTTTTCTGGAAATCTCTCTAACACTGGATAATTTTTTCTCTCCTCTCTTCCTTAACAGTGTTTCTCTTAAGTGTAAAATCATGGTTTGGAGTACAGGCTTTGAGGCCAGATAGACTGTGGGGTGGCTGTACCATTTTGTTAAAACTCTCAGTGATGTAGTTTCTTCATCTCTAAAATGGAGATATGTTACTGTCCAGGTGGTTATGAGGATTCCATGATATAATATATACACAATGATTAGCACATTGCCAGGCACATAGTACATTGTCAACAAACAGCATGTATTATTATCATACCAGGTCATCTCTATGTATTACCTAGACTTGTCTTTGGCAGTAGGTAACCCCAAACTGTTAGAAATGATATTACTGATGTTAGTGGCTCATGAGGACCTTCCAACTGAGCACACATCCCAAGGAGGTCGGCTGAGCCTTTTATGTTTCTTTCCACCCCAGAACAAATACTCTGGCAACAAGTCAGCGGCCCGACTCCAACAAGGAGCAGCATGGCCTGCAGCTGTATTGTCCTGAGGATCCTACACATATTGGAAGTTTACTTTAGAAAGCAAGAAACACACCCCAGTGAATAGGCCCAGCCCATATGGGCAGGGCTTTTTAAAAATTATATTGCAATTGAGTTAGGTAAGCATCTATTAACTATGCTACATGTAGTCGGCAATGCCCGCAGAGAGCTCATGGTCCCACGTGGAGACAAGGTGCAGCATGTTGGTGCCTTAATCTTTATTTTTGTTTTGCTTTTTAACTCAGAAAACACATGAAAAGCAAAGAGAAATAAAATATGAAGCTTTCTTGGATTCTCCCTTTGGCAATACCATTGGGGCTGTGATGGAGAATTTGGGTTTGAATCTTGGCTCTGCCATCGGCTAACCCTGTGGCCTTGGGGAAAATCATTTTCTCTTTTGGGGGCTTCCCTGTCCTTAAAATGGGTCACTTATATCTCCATTAAAGGGTTAATATCAGAACCATGTGGGGGAATTCACACGAAGGACTTTCAACAGTACCTGGTATTTAGTTCCACCCATGTTAGTTATCATTATTTTTATCTCCTTTCAGCAGCCAAACGGATTTTCTTTTGAGGCATCATGACTGCTTACATACTTCTAAGTCAGGAGTGCCCACCAGCGTGGTGCTAGAGGTAGTCTTATTTGGTGCCTTAAGCATGGTACGACCTTAGGAGTTCTTGCTAAGTACAAAGGCTATTTTTTTTTGTTTGTTTAAAGAATGTATTTTTCTCACCCTCTTGGTTTCAGTATTCGGGCTTTCACACGGAAAGATCGGAATCTGATCACGACAGCCAGTGGGGCGGGAGTCCCCTGACGGACACAGCGTCTCCGCAGCTCCTGGACCCCGCCGACAGGCCAGGATCTCAGCACGACGCGTCCTGCGCCTACAGACAGTTCTCGGACCGCAGCTCGCTCTGCTATGGCTTTGCGCTTGACCACTCCAGGCTGGTGGAGGACAGGCATTTCCACACCCAGGCCTGCGAGGGAGGCCGGTGTGAGGCCGGCAGGTACTTCCTGGGAACGCCGCAGGCCGGGAGGGAGCCCTGGTGGGGCTCTCGCGCTGCTTTGCCCCTGACCAAGGCCTCCCCAGAAAGCCGAGAAGCCTATGAAAACAGCATGCCTCACATCGCTTCCGTCCATAGGATCCACGGTAAGGGCAGCTGAAATGACTTCTGAGCTCGCAACCTTGCGCTCCTGGACACGTTTATAATACTCTAGGTTGGACCCTGGAGTGACTGACCCAGTCAGTAGTTTCTCCTTTGAACTTACAAACCAGAAACTCACACCAATGGGAATTTAAAAACCAATTCCACTCTCTTTAAGTATATTCATTTTGCTGTTTGCCAAATACTTATATTTTGGATGGGTCAGTAAAAACGATTCTCATTTTAAACATAAAAAAAAAGAATAGAAATTAAGTTAAAGTGAATTGTTGAGTAAGTCTATTGAATTTGTAGTATATGCATTTCAATTTCTTGTGTATTTTCTTCTGCATTCTAATGTTTCAAATGGGCTTAAGTAGTTTGGGGGGCTCATCTAGCCGTGTTTCTCTAAGAGGGTGCTAGTGGCATGTGGGGGACCCCTCTTTGTATTATGGCCTATCACATCACCGAAAATTTAACCTCTCTGGCATTAAATGCCAGTTAGCTGCTGCCTTCCCCCATCATTATGACAACCCACAATGTCCCCTGTGAGTAAAGGATGGAGTGATACGTAGAAGCCATGGAGATTTTCACCTTGTGGTTATTACATAGCTTTACGAATACACAGAAATGGGCACTGCAATGAAAACCTTTCGTGTTAGTAATACTCTTCTTTGTTCATTTGAAAGGAGACTGGTCAAGGAGCACTTATTCTGTCCCTTTCAAGCTTGAGTCCAGGCAGCTCCTTGAAACCCTCTCTATTTCATGAAAAGTCAGTGACATTAAGATTGATCTGCCGCCCTGATATTACTCTTCATGTTGTGTCTTCAGGGTGAGAGGTGCGCTGCCCAACGTGGTACTCACCCTTAACGTCGTCTGTCAGATACCACCCAGGCTCTGACTGCCTCCTGTGATTTTAATTTGTTTCTCTTTTTGCTTTTTATTTTTCTCCTTTTACTTTGAGTTTCTCGAGTTTGGTAGACTGGCACTGGAAACCCAGGGCAAAGGGCAATTACAATACTTGTGGAAGAACGGAGTGAAGTGAGAATCCTGGCTTCACCTACATGGTCTGGAAGAAAATATTAGAAATAAAATAAGAGACGGGAAAAGCAAAGCAATGAATAGTGTGATCCAGGGTTCCTCTGCTGCATAAAGCACTTCACAGCTTTCATGGACTCTTCCTGTTTCTCTTCTCCCTTTTTATATTGACTTCAGGCTGCTCTGAGAATAATTCAACTTAATTTATGGAATGTATTTTGGATGCACTATTCCTCCATATTTGATCTCTCTCCTTGGTTCAGAATAGGTTGTTATTACCACTGTAAATATTTATTTATTCTTTATTTCAGAAATAATCTAAGTTACCAGAGGTATTATATGATTTGGAAGACTGAGATTTTTACCACTAGATTTAAGAAGACAATATTTATGTTTTTGATTGGGACAAGATATATACATATCCAGGAACACATATACACATACACATATTCTTAACCCTCAAACAGTTTAAAAACAAACATTAGAGCTTTATTATAATTCTACTTAAGATACATTTAGCAATATTAAGTGTTTGATTTGGAATTGAGAAAATAGTTCAGCCTATGTTGTTGTCTTCCTGAAACACAATTGAAAGCATTTTCTAAGCATCAATTTAACATAACACATTTCTAGAAAATAACATAAACCAAATGTTATGCATTTTTCTTTTATTATTTACAACCGGACAGGTCCAGTAATGTGCATACATCAAGCATAAACACACATCACCGTTTTGCTAATTGGCATTCACACCCATGAATAAGATTTACCTTCTAAAAAACTTGTTACAAACTTCATCTGCACTTAAAAGCCCAGAACAATGAATTCCAGTACAATCCTTTGACACTCTGTTATGTGAGCCTGTGTCTGTTTCAAATATTGGTGCATATATTAAAAATGAAAGATATAAGGTTTCTTTTAAAAAGAAATACGCGTACATTTTTGGGGATGAAGTTTGAGACCACTCACCTTTTACTTTTTCTAATTCCTAGGGCGAGGTCATTGGGATGAAGATAGCGTGGTCAGTTCTCCAGATCCTGGGTCTGCCAGCGAATCAGGTGACCGATATCGCACTGAGCAGTATCAAAGTAGCCCGCATGAACCTAGCAAAATTGAAACTCTGATAAGAGCCACCCAGCAAATGATTAAAGAAGAAGAGAACAGATTGCAACTAAGGAAAGCCCCTCCAGACCAACTGGCTTCCATTAATGGAGCTGGGAAAAAACACTCCCTCTGTTTTGCAAACTACCAACAGCCACCCCCGACAGGCGAAGTCTGCCATGGCTCCACTCTTGCCAACACCTCACCATGTGACCATATTCAGCAGAGAGAGGGAAAGATGCTGAGCCCCCATGAAAATGACTATGACAACAGTCCCACTGCGCTGTCTCGGATGAGTAGTCCCAATTCGGATCGCATTTCCAAATCCAGTTTGATCCTAGCTAAAGACTATCTCCATTCGGATATGTCTCCTCATCAGACAGCAGGAGACCATCCTGCGGTCTCTCCAAACTGCTTTGGCTCTCACCGGCAGTATTTTGATAAGCATGCTTACACATTAACTGGATATGCCCTGGAGCACTTATATGACAGCGAAACCATTAGAAACTATTCCTTGGGCTGTAATGGCTCACACTTTGATGTAACTTCTCATCTAAGGATGCAGCCAGACCCAGCACAAGGACACAAGGGAACATCTGTTATAATAACCAATGGAAGCTGATGTTTTTCCAAAATATTTTGTTCTTGAAGGTCTGAGACATATTTATAGTTTAATGCCCCATGACCAGCATTTACTATGCTACAGATTGTTAGAGAGGATAATTTAAGTTACTGGGTATTTGACATGTGTTCCTTTGAAATCAAAGAAAACAGCACTAGCATTCAAGGTTATACACAGATAATGGAGCTAAATTGAATACACAAATTGCCCCTCTAACCAGAGTAGATAAATTTAGAATTAAAAAATACTCGCATAGATTAAGTGAGCATACATATCATAGGAAAGACTGATGGATTACAACATGGCATTGCGATGAGCCAGTGAACCCCATACTCACAGACTGCTATCTATAAACTGCAGTGGACGCTTTACGTGCAGAAATACAGACGATGTACCAGAAATACACCCCACATGGATAACTTTCCTTAACCCTGGCACATTAAGATTCCTAAAGAAATTTCCATTCCCAAAATAACTAAGAAAGAGATACACCTTATAAACTGGTTTCTTCTTTGTGGTTTTAACCAGCCAGCTCATTTGGTTCAGATATAAATTAGGGAAATGGTTCTGGATATTATAAAAATGAGTTTTCACCTGGTATCCATTATAAGCAATCAGGAAGTGGTGATTTTTTTTTTTTAACCTTGCTTTTGAGTTAGACAAGGAACAGGATCACATTGGCATATCAGTAAGGGTTTTTCTAAGTGAAAGTACTGATATGTTAGGACACACATCAAAAACTTGGTGTGCCCAATTGGAAATAGTTTAGTGAAGATGGAAAGGACAGAGGCAGAGAGAAGTGAAATAACATCTCCAAACAAACCATTTAAGGCTCCGAATAAGCAATGAACATGTTTTTGGGCCCATGAAACCAACCAAATAAAAAATTCAAACCAATTCCCAAGGAAAAAAGACTAATAAGTGCGAAAGTGAAGTAAGGAAAACCAGTGAAGTGCTACATGACAGCAGTGTAAGTGTTTGAAGACATTTCAAAGCACAGATGTGCAAATGTGACAACATGTGGAAAGCCTCAGGAGAGAATCTAAGATAAAAGCTTAGGCTGATAGACAAGTGATTCAAAGGGCAACAGGAGTACTTTGACTGAAGGAGCAGGCGAAGTGTTCATTTTCTTTATTGTTTGTAACCAACGAAAACAACAAACGGGGTCATGTGAAACAGTAGAAAGACTAGCAGACTAGATGCCAGCATGCCTGGGTTCTGGTTTTGACCCTGCCTGTAACTTATTTTTGGAACATCGATGTATCACTCACCACGCTTGGGCCCTAGTTTCATCTGTATGGCAGTTCTAATGTTCCATGGTTCTGTGGTTCACTGGTCCAGCAGAGCTCAACTTGTTAACCAGTTAACTCTCTGCTGTGAGCTTTCAAGAGTGATCATTCTGGCTTTTCTGTGCTCAGATAGAAGTCTAGATGCTTTGTAACTTAAGCAGGTGCATGGGCTCTTTTAGGCATGGATAGTTACAGACAGCTTTCTAGTTCAGCCAAAATGTAGATGGCAGAAACTAATGAGGGAGAAGGAAAATAAGTAAAATTTATTTAATGCACTATTGTCTAATAAAGCAAGGTGACATAAGTGATTAAAGAAGTTTCAGAGATAATATTTCCTAGGAGTCCCATGCCTGAAACTCTTGCCATATTCAAAGAGGGAATGTATTAGAAGAAATTGATGTATAATTTTGAAGACAGACCATGACATTGAACACTCAGGGATTAATGCTATATTTTTACCATATAACACAATTATTTGGCAATCTAGAGGTAGGTGACAATCTGAATGATGATAATCTGAGAAATGAATTCTGAGTTGTTTGTACATGAAAAAGAGGCTACATAAAGTTAGATATTTCTTGGGTATGACAGAGCAACTTTTGTGCTGTAAATGGAAAAAGTGCAAGTAAGTGAGAAAGTTAGTGGTTATATGTACTTTCACAAAAGTTCAAACAATAAAAACTAAATTTTGAACTATGTAAGCAAAAGTATTCAGCAATTTTGAGAAAAATATTTATGAGCAACTCCTGGAATACTTAAAATGGATTTTTGATCATTTTGCTACATGAAGTAAGGTTTTAGGAATGCTAAAGGTTTTGCAGAATTCTGTAGATGGATAAATGGTTCAAAGACACAAATGTCTGAAGAATATAGTGTGTTTTGGAAAGGAAATCTATACAGATGGGTTTTACTGATGGATATATATTCTACTCAAAAGGTCAGAGACATGCTATAAAGGAAATAGAATCTTAAGAATCAAGGAAAATGAACTGATATGAAAGAAAAGACTGTCACTAAAGAAATTTCAGTGGAATTTTATATGGAAGATAGTTTATCAAGGAAAAAAATTATAAACTCTACAAATAAGGGGTAATGAGAAGGAATAATGCTCTGTAAAAGCATGACCAATATTTTTAAGTGAGGACAATTAACTACATTACATCTTAATTAAAATTTTGATAGATTGACCCAGCTTTAAATACAAACCATTTATTTCCTTTGTCGATAATTTTATAGTAGCATATTTATTACATTACATATAATACCTTACAGGCCCACAGTATTATATAGCATACATTTTTTGCAATCTGGCATGATTTTTTCAAAATGACCCAAGATAAGTTGAGACCATTATGGCAAGGTACCTTTTTAGTATACCGTACACGTAGACATGTTAAAATATATTTATCATCTACATTATTTTCTGTGCGGGAACAGATTGCCTCATAATGAAGATGTCATCTGTGTCTTTTTAAAATATGGGATGTAAAAGATGTATGTTTCCAATAACGTAATCAGTTAAAATTAAATTTAAATTGGCTTTAGTTTTAATCCTTGATTTCTATAACTTTGTTAAATGCTGAGAATCATGATACTTGATTTAAGTAGAAAGAGAAGTATGATTTTTATATCACCTTGGGAATTCATACAAATGTGCTATATATCCAATTACTCTCATGACATGTAGCAATTCATTAGATGATACAAAGCTCATGCTTTCTAGTAATAGTAAGAATATCTTTATTGCCCATTTTACCTGCCTGCCCTACCTAATTAAAAAATTTGGATGACCAAAGAAATAAATGACTATCCCCTATCTTTCTTGGGAAAATTTTGTTAAAACTATTATTGAGAATATACAGAGTCGAAGTATTATTTTTGAATGCATAATATTAATATCACAGTCACTACAAGTCAAACATGTAAGTATGCTTCAGCTCCATCATTTGACATACAATGTTGAATATAATGGCCTAGCTTTTCTAACCTATAACGCCTGTTATAGGATGACACATAGTGCTGATATGACATTCAAAATGAGACAGGATGCAATAAAAGTTTTGCCTTCAGTGTTTATACAGAAAACCCACTTCTTCTTTCATGGGTTTATTTTATCGGATTAGAATATTTCCATTGGGTACAACTCTTAATTATCTCTATACCCTGCTGCCATGTGATGCCTCAGGGCAGAGAATCCCACTGAAAATAAGCTTTAATGGGATCTTCTGGAAAAGGATAAGATGCTCCATTTCCTTTTCTTATTTTTTAATGGGATATGAGGAATGATTCAATAAAAGATTATTTGGAAAATATGAATAGATATTTTAAATAAAAAGAAAGACCACCCCCCCCAAGACTTAGACCAATTAAATTTGACAGAAAACACTACAGCTAAAGAGACACTCTGAATACATGTATGATATTTCATAGCTGTCTCTCTCAAGAGTAGGACGTTATTAAGATGTTCAGTGCAATTCTATTGGTACTAGTGGAATTTGGAAGTTTCAGAATGCATCCTCTGGAAAACAGAGGATTTGGCCATTTTGGAGTGGCTTACCCTGCCCAGTGAAATAGCTTACACTTTAACATACTCTCTTTAATGTAAAGAGTTTGAATGCTCCAGTTCACTCAAGTAATAGGACATAGACCTACATCATATTTTCTAAACAATTTCATAAATCCTATGTAAATCCTATGGGTCTCCAAATAACTGATTCAACTTTCATGTAAATGTCAGTTTTTGCAAGTAGGAATTCAACTCTAAGAGGGCGAAATCTATTGGTTAGTTCTTACTGGGAAATGCATTGTGGATAAAACATTCATTATCATTCTAAACTTTAAATGAATGACAGAACAGCTATGAACATATGGAAAAGATCTGACATAGAAAATGTTCTTGGGGGAAATTTCTGTGTGGTGTTCATTTCTTGTGAACAAGAGTTGTACAAGTAGGGCTTCACTCAAAAAGTGAGATTGTGCTTATATCCAAATAGGGATTTGTTCAGAGTTCCTTCAATCTATATGCAGATGGGCTGCGGTTACACACACACACACACACACACACACACACACACGTGCGTGCGTGCAATGGTGAAGCAAGTAACAAGATCCTATTCTGCTGTGCTCCTTAAAAACTGATGGTTCAACAAGAAATCCTAATTAATAATTTTAAAACAAACATTTATAGTTTTATTGTAATTTTGCTGCATGGGGCTTTGCTTTCATAAACCTATATAGTGAAAAGTTTGTCCTAATTTGCTGATCAGGAACACATTTAATCCCAGTTGAATTTACACCCAACAACCCTGGTGTGTTTACATTTCAAAAGAAATGAAATTGGCGTGAAAAGATTTAGAAGTACTGTAACTTTTTTTCCAAAGGGACATATTTCAAAAAATGAAACATATGAGTAGGCACTTCAAAAAAAGATAAAATATTTTATGTTTGTTTTTTGACTGACATGCTATAAAAGGATTATATTTGTGAAAGAAGATACTGATTGCCAATATTTCAAATATCATCTTGCAATGTATAGTTTTTAGTGACATCGTAGTATAAATTTGTAATTTGAACTTTTACTTTGGAATGTAAAGTAGAAAATATTAGCTATGTCAATGATATCTTGCAAAGTGTTCTCATTTATAATTATTTATATTGTAAATAGCTTTCTGAAGTAAATTCGAAGTTAATGTGCATAAAATGTATTTATTATGTGAGGAATTTTTTTGGTTTAAAATACAGTTACCAATATGCAGTTTGAGTCTGAATTATTGATTGAAAGAGAAACCTCTATCAGACAAAACAGACTATTAACAGGAAGATTAGAACTGTAAAGAAATAAGGACCATTTTAGCTCTAGATTTTGTTGGAGTAGATAATGGACACACACACACACTCTTAAGAGACTTAGCAATAGGAGCCTGCACATATTCATGGTAATTATTAAGTAATGATTTTTATTAGACACTAGAGAATGTTTTCTGATTCTTCATCAGAACATCTTAAACAGGACTTCTTTGGTTTCCACTTTGCTAAAATCAAGAATTTGAAAGTATGGATTATATTTTTAATGCCCAAGGGAAAAGAAAACTATTAATATTGAGATTATTTAGCTTGCTGTCATTCAAAAACACATTAAAAACACATCTTGGATAATTTTTATTTCAGAATCCAAAGTAGTTTTTAAATTTAGAAGTAGGAGTTAAGGCCAAACATAAATAGGTTGCCAGGTGGTTCTCTGCTACGCATTTTCATATCACCCAACATGTTTGCTTTTAGTTCTCCAGGGATTTCTGATTTACCTTAATATACTCCAGAAATTGTCAACCATTAGCCAATTCAGAAAACCTGCACTATATATTTTTGATTCAGTGAAGATGTTTGTATTTCATAAAGTTTTTTGACAAAGCTGCATAAAATATCATTGCCATTAATATTATAGCATTTATCAGGTATTTTATGATTCTTTAAATATTTGTTTTGGTTCTTTCATTTCTGAAAATAAAATTGTTCCCACCTACTTTATACTCCAGAATAACCGCACTTCCACTTTAATCCACAACATTTATGGAATATCTATTATATGTCCCCAAAGGGCTAGACACCAAGAACCTTTCTCACTGTAGGACATTATAGGAAAGCACATACAGAGGGAGGGTCTTTGGTTTTCCTTATGTGCTATGACAGTGTAAAGTCTTTAGATAATCATAAAAATGACAAGCATTTTTTGAATCATCATGTGCCAGGCACTGACCAGGCTCAGATTATCACCGAAGTCTGAGTAGAGACCACCACAGAGGGACGTACCAATATGCTCCATTTCATTAATGAGGAAAGTGAGACTCAGTGTGGTTAAGTAACTTAGTGATGTGGCTAGTAAGTGGTGGAGTTGAAAAATGAATACAGGCAGCTTTACCCCAAAACTTTATCACACTTCCTTCTGTAATAAGGAAAAAATAAGTGAAAGAAAATATTGTCTAAATGGTGGTTGCTCAATACAGCTAATGGTGGCTCCAGTAGCCCCATGTATGGTCTTAGGGCTGGGTTGTGGTTCATTATTTTACTGACACATGATGACCAGCCTGAGGGAGGCAGAGGCCAAGCCTACTGCTCTCTTACACAATATTTGGCCTTTCTGTTGAAAGAATGTTCTCACATTTCTTTTATAAGACCATGATACCAAGAAAAGCCTGGGGCACGATAAGCTACAGGCAAATTATCCTAACAGGATCTCCATGATATTTGAAAAAAATTTTGAGCCTTTCTCAATGAATAAAATACAAGTGGCTTAATTTGTAATTTAAAACTATACATTTTTTTCACCTAACATTTTCAAGATAACCAAAACAAAATATCACTTTCTCACGATAGCCCATAAGCACCGTTTCGTTTCATGAAAAACTTTCCTTCTTCACTGGAAAATGAAACAAAACAAAACAGAAAAACCAAAGCCCACTCTACCAAGAATTGCTATGTGTCAGTATTGCCTGTATTATTTAGGGGCCTTGGTTTCCAGGGGATTCTGTGGGTAGAGTTTACAGGACTGTTGCAACTATCACATTATCATTTAAGGAAAACTGCCCCAAAGTTATCTGACAGGAAGGCTGCCCTCAGAACACAGATGATTCCTTTAAGATGTCTTGAAGTGATGGCATGAGCCTGCCGGAATCAGCCTGTCTTTGGCTGCCTCCATGGTGATGGTAACTCCTAGGTGCCAGCAACCCAGGCAGCCTGTCCAGCCATCCCTGGCCCCTGGGCTCTGCTTCACAGTGTCAGGAGGGTCAATCCTCTGTAGCACTTCTTGGCCTTTTCATAATTGTGCTTTATAACTTAATATGTGCTGTATTTACTGACGGAATTAGATCCAAGGTGGGAGAAATGTAAAACAGCCCCTGCTTTGGGAGTTTGTAAATAATCTCTGCTTTGTTCAGTTTCCCCCAGGTCAGGCTCCTGTGTGGGGAGTAATTCCATATGGGAATCTTACTTGAGTGCCATCTAAGTTAAACCTTAAAGGGAATCTTGGCAGTATCTCCTGAGCCATAAGGAAATCATTCTCAGTTTCTGGGGAGGATTTTCTGATAGCTTTGTTTTATATATATATATATATATATATATATATATATATATATATATATATATATATATATATATATATATATAACTGAACCTGATAGCTTTGTTTTATGTATGAGGTCAGACAATTAATTTCGTGAACTCATCTTAGAAAAAGTGCTCCATACCTCATTACTGAATATCACTATGGTCACCTTCCAAGGACTCCCCTTGGGAAGCTATGCATCAACACCAGCAACTAGTCCACCCTTCAAAGCAAACCTGGAATTCTTTTTCTGGAATGGCCATCAGAGCTGTCNTCTTTTCAGCTCCTCTTTGGATTTTTAAGTATGTTAGTGTTTCTTTGACACATACTTAAGTATAAACACACACACACACACACACACACACACACACACACACACACACACACGTGCGTGCGTGCAATGGTGAAGCAAGTAACAAGATCCTATTCTGCTGTGCTCCTTAAAAACTGATGGTTCAACAAGAAATCCTAATTAATAATTTTAAAACAAACATTTATAGTTTTATTGTAATTTTGCTGCATGGGGCTTTGCTTTCATAAACCTATATAGTGAAAAGTTTGTCCTAATTTGCTGATCAGGAACACATTTAATCCCAGTTGAATTTACACCCAACAACCCTGGTGTGTTTACATTTCAAAAGAAATGAAATTGGCGTGAAAAGATTTAGAAGTACTGTAACTTTTTTTCCAAAGGGACATATTTCAAAAAATGAAACATATGAGTAGGCACTTCAAAAAAAGATAAAATATTTTATGTTTGTTTTTTGACTGACATGCTATAAAAGGATTATATTTGTGAAAGAAGATACTGATTGCCAATATTTCAAATATCATCTTGCAATGTATAGTTTTTAGTGACATCGTAGTATAAATTTGTAATTTGAACTTTTACTTTGGAATGTAAAGTAGAAAATATTAGCTATGTCAATGATATCTTGCAAAGTGTTCTCATTTATAATTATTTATATTGTAAATAGCTTTCTGAAGTAAATTCGAAGTTAATGTGCATAAAATGTATTTATTATGTGAGGAATTTTTTTGGTTTAAAATACAGTTACCAATATGCAGTTTGAGTCTGAATTATTGATTGAAAGAGAAACCTCTATCAGACAAAACAGACTATTAACAGGAAGATTAGAACTGTAAAGAAATAAGGACCATTTTAGCTCTAGATTTTGTTGGAGTAGATAATGGACACACACACACACTCTTAAGAGACTTAGCAATAGGAGCCTGCACATATTCATGGTAATTATTAAGTAATGATTTTTATTAGACACTAGAGAATGTTTTCTGATTCTTCATCAGAACATCTTAAACAGGACTTCTTTGGTTTCCACTTTGCTAAAATCAAGAATTTGAAAGTATGGATTATATTTTTAATGCCCAAGGGAAAAGAAAACTATTAATATTGAGATTATTTAGCTTGCTGTCATTCAAAAACACATTAAAAACACATCTTGGATAATTTTTATTTCAGAATCCAAAGTAGTTTTTAAATTTAGAAGTAGGAGTTAAGGCCAAACATAAATAGGTTGCCAGGTGGTTCTCTGCTACGCATTTTCATATCACCCAACATGTTTGCTTTTAGTTCTCCAGGGATTTCTGATTTACCTTAATATACTCCAGAAATTGTCAACCATTAGCCAATTCAGAAAACCTGCACTATATATTTTTGATTCAGTGAAGATGTTTGTATTTCATAAAGTTTTTTGACAAAGCTGCATAAAATATCATTGCCATTAATATTATAGCATTTATCAGGTATTTTATGATTCTTTAAATATTTGTTTTGGTTCTTTCATTTCTGAAAATAAAATTGTTCCCACCTACTTTATACTCCAGAATAACCGCACTTCCACTTTAATCCACAACATTTATGGAATATCTATTATATGTCCCCAAAGGGCTAGACACCAAGAACCTTTCTCACTGTAGGACATTATAGGAAAGCACATACAGAGGGAGGGTCTTTGGTTTTCCTTATGTGCTATGACAGTGTAAAGTCTTTAGATAATCATAAAAATGACAAGCATTTTTTGAATCATCATGTGCCAGGCACTGACCAGGCTCAGATTATCACCGAAGTCTGAGTAGAGACCACCACAGAGGGACGTACCAATATGCTCCATTTCATTAATGAGGAAAGTGAGACTCAGTGTGGTTAAGTAACTTAGTGATGTGGCTAGTAAGTGGTGGAGTTGAAAAATGAATACAGGCAGCTTTACCCCAAAACTTTATCACACTTCCTTCTGTAATAAGGAAAAAATAAGTGAAAGAAAATATTGTCTAAATGGTGGTTGCTCAATACAGCTAATGGTGGCTCCAGTAGCCCCATGTATGGTCTTAGGGCTGGGTTGTGGTTCATTATTTTACTGACACATGATGACCAGCCTGAGGGAGGCAGAGGCCAAGCCTACTGCTCTCTTACACAATATTTGGCCTTTCTGTTGAAAGAATGTTCTCACATTTCTTTTATAAGACCATGATACCAAGAAAAGCCTGGGGCACGATAAGCTACAGGCAAATTATCCTAACAGGATCTCCATGATATTTGAAAAAAATTTTGAGCCTTTCTCAATGAATAAAATACAAGTGGCTTAATTTGTAATTTAAAACTATACATTTTTTTCACCTAACATTTTCAAGATAACCAA